TGTGATTTTACAAGCTAACGTGGTCACAGATATATATGTGTGTAAATAGTAATCCCTAAATCAGCTTGGGAGAGAGTTCTCAGAAAGCTGTTGAATCTCAGAGTAAGTTTTGTTCCTCTTTTGTTGTAGCCTTACTAGCAAAACTGCTTCAAAAAAATCTTGTAATTAGAATTACTATTTTAGTAAAGATCAACCAGTTTCTAAAACGTTCTCCTCTCTCCTTTATGAAAACAGCACCATTGATGGTTTTCTCAAGATGGTCACGCTATCATTTCCCTCCAACCAGAGCTGGGTAAAAGCTGTGACATTCACCCAAGGCCCACACTTGGGACACTACAGCTTTATAACCCTGTTGATTCCTTGACTCAAGATGCCTCTAGCCACACCATATGGTTCTTTACCGTCTAACTAGCAGTATGTTACTTACGATAGTATCTTAGCCACACATAGAGATTTTAAACATTGATGTTACCTTCTTTTTTTCTTTTCCTTTTTTTTTTTTTAGCCGAGCCATCCTGCCTCCTGTTGGCAGCTCAGCGGCAGTTCAGCTCGGGCCGGGAATCGAACCGGCGACCCTCTTGCTCAGTGCTCGCACTCTTGAGGGAGCTCTTAACCAACTGAACCACTCAGCAGGCCTCTGATGTTACCTTCTTAACATATGGCAGTGTTCAGTATTTAATCTGACCTCAAAAATCACTCATCTGAGCTGAGTGGTGGAAAGACACTACTTCTTTCACCTAAAAAATATTCTAACGAACACTGAGCAAAACATCCAAATTAATGAGATATATCAAAGGGCTTCCAGTATACTCAGAAATGTCATATACATAAACCTGAATAGTGTCGGATAGAAAAGGTTCGGCTGACTCATCTGAATGGTAATCCCACTTGATAGCTGCTGTTAAGAGTAAATGAAATATGTTCTTACTGCTTCAGAGTCTCTGAGGAATCATAATGTCCATCATAATCTGAGTCAAACACGGGACCGCTGACAACATTGACGCCATTTCTTTCTTCAGCATACTTCTGCAGTAGGGTACCATGAAAGTAACGCCATATAACTGAAACAAGAAGGAAGACAGTGTAGTTTCAAAAGAACAAGAAGCCATGCTGTCATGTGAAATAAATCAACAGATGATTCAGAATTAGCATTTGTCATAATTAGAGATAAAGTCAAATTTGGCTTCGGTCTTAGTGTGAGGTCAAAATTCAAGTGTTCAGCATTAGACTTTGGAAGGACTAAAAAACAAATGTTGACTTCAACTCTATTTCAGCCATTCCTGAACCTGTGCATCGTCATGAACTTGTGGTCACATATCATCATTAAGCANGCTTAATTAAATGTATCAAATTTGGGGAAAGGAAAGTATATCTGGAACAGATGCTCATTTATTGCATTGGTGCAAGAAACTTCAATTGTGTAGGGTTAAAAAGTGCTGGAAAACAGAAGCAACACAACATGGTAGAAAGCATATGGGAATTAGCATAAAGAAACCTGGATTCAAGTCCTGGTTCTACCATCACCCTACCAAGTAAACTGAGGCAAGTTATTTCACATCGGAATCCTGATTCTCTTATCTGGAACCTGCCTTACAGGGTGTTTTTGAGGATCCAATGTAATGATGTGTGCAAATGTATTATACAAACACTAGTTCTTATAAGAATCAGTTATATACATAGTCTCAATGAAGAAAAGGTTTGGAGGAAGTGATAAAACCATTTCATTTTTGAGAACGTAGTGAAGTCTTAGCTAATATAAAATTAGAAAAGAATTAAAGGCATATACTCTGGCACATGGAAGCAGAGGTGGTAGCTGATACAGGTAATAGAGATGGAAATCATACATCCACATGGCAGCATAAATTTTTTTGAAAATAGCTACTGGAGAAGGTTAGATGAAGAAAATACCCACTGGTTGGTGGGCTACAATTGCACTTGAAAGAAATCCTTCAATCAAGTTTCTTGTACCCTTGGGACATTTTTAGTTAAAAATGATAAATATAGACTTTTCACATAAAAGGGGAACAGACCAATAATTTCCATTTTCCCATTAGCCTCCTATCATCTACTCCATACTTCTGCTCCAGTCTCCTTCTCTGCAGCTGTCCTCAGGGAAATAGCCTGGTTCTCAGGGAAGTAGCCCTGACTCAATAGGCTACTTGGCCAGAAGGTATTTGCCATCTGGTCCAACATTTACAAAAATAGATAAAAAGTACATGCAAGGCATCTGTCTTCTCAGGCCAATATCCAGCTACCACTTCAGAAATCAAACAGAAGAAATCAATAAGTATGTGTGATATACTTTCAAATAATCCTCTCCCTGGTTGAAGTCCAATATTTAGTGTCTTCTAGGAACACTGTAAAACTTGATAAAATGTTTGTATTTGGGATACCTGTGCAATAGCTTTTGGAATGGTAGAGATGGAAAAAGGACTCAACACTTAACTCATGGCATCTAAGATCATTTTGGTCAATGAGATGTAAGCATAAGCCTGTTGCTGCTTCTTTTGAGGGGCAATGCCAGAATTCCGACATAATATTTAGACAAGCAGAAGTCATCTTTAGCCCACATGGGCCACGTGATAAGGACAGTGGCGCAGAAAGACAGGTCTGGGTCCCTCATGGTGCTGCTGACCAGTGCGCTGTCCCAAGACTGTCTTGTTTGGACTTTCTGTGACAAATAACTGGGTTCTCTGTTATTTGCTGCAGAGCACTAACTGACAGCGTTAATGAACATTTTCTCTCTCCAAGGAGATAAAGCAAAAAAGAAGGAAATATTTGGTATGTGTCCAACAGCAGCACCAATATTGACCAGTTAGCAGAGTTAGATGCCCAACAGGCATCCGAATAATTAAAAGCTTGCTATTCTGTACATAATTCTGAAGAATAAGTAACAAAATAGCTTAATGAGAAATACATTCTATGAAGACTAGTCAATTAATTCTGAATGCTGTTCAGAGAAACAATTAAACAGAGACCTAGACTCATGCATTTTAATGAATGATACACA